TAATTTGAGTAGTTTGGCCTTGTTATGAGCTTGTATATCTATTTATTTACATGCAAGTATATCTTATGCATTTCAGTCCTTTCCTATCAACAAGGGAGAGGGTTTCTTGAATACACAGATGGAATACTATTAGATTATATCGCAGAAATATAAAGTGTTGCGGATAATTACTTTTCAAATGCAGGTACTTACCAGATGCAAATGCGCCGCAAGCGAGTCGTTGTCGCAAAGGTGAAAAAAATGTTGGTGAAGACAAGGATACCAACAAATATAGCTATCAACCCAATAGATTATAGAAAATTACAAGGGGCTATCTAATCTATCTCTCTATCTCTCTCTCTCTATCTATATCTCTATCTATCTCTAAAATATCTATTTATCCTATATATATATATATATATATATATATAGTATATATATATAATATATATCTAGCACACTACACACACACACACACACACACACACTCATAAATATATATATATATATTTATATATATAAACATAATATATATATATAATATATATTATAAATATAATATAATATATATATATAGAATTATATAAACCACAGACACACACAATAATTTACATAATATTATATATATAATATAATATATATATATATATATATTATAATATTATATATTATACTACATATAATATATATATACTATATATATTATATATATATATATAATATTATATATACACACACACACCCACACACACACACACACACACACACACACTACACAGTAGTTATATTATATATATATATTATTATATATATAGATGATATGTATATATATATATATATTATACAGCAAACACAGCTGACAGCCACGGCAAAGAGGCAAGGCTGGATCATCATCGACACGAGAGAGCCGGAACGAGAGGAAGCGCGTCCCATTCCTCGGCGCGTCACCATCCCTGATGCGCCCTCATCACATAGTAGGCCACTACTAATGATCGGTGTGTATTCCGTGTAACTAATATAACATAATATTAATTGAGAAAACACATCTCAGTCACAGCTGCAGCAGTTGTTTATTATATGAAATGCCTCGAGAAGCACTGCAAGCCTCTGGTGACATGCGGTACTTCTACAATCATGTTTGCACTCATGCCATTGTCCCTTGGAAAAGGGAGGAGTGGATACACTTCAGAATACATGTGAAATGCCATAGAATGCATCAAGATTGACTCTGAGATCAGATTTCTAAAGGAAAAAAATGGAGGAAAAATATCCTCAACTTCAAAGCATGATATCTCCAAACCGTTCATGTAAATGCCATAGAATGCATCAAGATTGACTCAGAGATCAGATTTCGAAAGAAAAAAAGAGAAAATGGAGGAAAAAATATCCTCAACTATATATTCAAGAATAAGGATAAGATCATGGAACATGTGAAAAGTTCAGTCCCTATGCAGTCTACTATTTTTTGGAAGAAACGTGGAAAAGTGATAAAAGAACTTCTGAACATTTGGATGAAGGTTGCTCAAAGCATATTAAAAATCACCGAAAACTACTGTATTGTTTACATCGGTACGTCCGAAAGTAGAGCTTGTTGTACAGTGATTAAAACATACCGTACGCCCTACTACGACATACGAACAAACGTACTTACGAACAAGCTACTGGAACGGAACCTATCGTAACTCGGGACTACCGTATATATGTACATATATTATAGGTATAATTATATATATATAATATATATATTATATATATATATATTTATATTATATGTATATATGTATATATGATTAATAGGGTATATATATATACAGTATAGTACTATAGTATACTATTATATGTGTTGTGTGGTGGTGTGTCTTTGTGTGTGTTGTGTGTGCAAATTGGTGTGTGTATGTGTGTGTTGTGTGTGTTGCTGGGTTTGTTGTTGGATTATTTGTATGTGTGTGTGTATCGTGCTATGTGTTATATACTGTATACATATATCAACGATATATGTAACTATGATATATATATAGTCTTATATATAGATTAATATAGATACACCACACGAGCACACCACACTTATATATAATAGATTACTATATATATATATATATATAGTGGATAAGTTATAGTAGAATATACTAGTATTATAGCAATAGGATCAACTATATACTTATAGATATATATATATATAAATTTATACTTGTAATATATACACATGATAACTAGTATTATAATATATGTGTAGTACTATATATAGATACTATATATAATAGTATGTGATATATATAATATTAGTATATATTCATAGTATATATAGTAAGTATGAAGGATATATGTAACAGATATATTAGATGTATATATATATACACATATAGTATACACAAAAGTACGATGTAATATGGTATACTGATAATAGTTAGTTAGGGTATATTAGTAAGTTATGGTATATAGAGAAGGTAGGGTAGGGGTAGTAGGGAGTAGATATTGCATATATATGTGTGTGTGTGTGTGGTGGTGGTGTGGAAGGGGCGCG